CGGGGGGGGGGGTGATGGCCGGAATTTTGAGGACAGTTGTATGTCCATTTTTTCAGTGCTGCTGTAACTTTGAATGGTCACTGAATGAATGGACATAAACTGAGGACTACCTGTATGTATTTTTAAAGCTGTTGAGTTTTATTATCTCTGAGCTTACATTATGAAGACTCTAAGTCTGGCAGGGGCCGCAGTCCAACAGTGCTCCTCTTTTTGACATTTTATGATGACAAATCTGATCAGATATTATTTTCTTGCTCCACTGATTTAGTTAAGCAGTAGCAAAATGTGTGTCTCGCTATAACCATGCCAATGCCGGGACTCCGTGTGTCAGAGATTGGGACAAAAGTATGTAATAGTGGCATTTATGTGATGCTGTCACTGCATGTGTCATCACTTTAGCATCTTCATTGTTTGCTACTGCACTGGAGCAAGGCAGAATAACTGCTCTGCCTTTTCAGATATTTGAAGACTATCATTTTTCCTTTGAATTTTCTCCACAATAATTAAAAAAAAAAATCCTCAGTTTCTCATTGAATTTTGTTTCCAGGATGGTTACCTTCTTCTGGATATTTTGCAGTTACTCAATGTCCAACTTAAAATGTGGCACCATAATTCAGCATTCTAAATTAGGGTACAGAAAAGAATGGTATCTTTTCATGGTTTGGATACTTGGTGGTAATTCTCACTAATACTGCTTTAGTTCAGTAGTTCCTAATTTGTATTGTGGGAGGCCCTGTTTTTATTTTGAACATAGCTGAAGAAACCTTTCTTGTTCTTTTCATTCTTCACTAACCATTGCTCATTTTGAGTTTTAATTTTCTGACCCCAATTCTCCAGTTTAGGCTATGAATATGCACTCTTTATTGGTGCTCTGTATCTCTCTCTAACTTTTATTATTTTATTATTTATCACATTTATATAGCTTCCTACCCACAAGACCATTAGTTGTTATCAAAAGCTTCTGATGACCAGAGAGTGATCTGCATAAAATAAATGATTGGGAATGGCTGCCTTGGCTTTTAATTTAGCAGCCATATTACATTGCTGGCTCATGTTCAGATTGTGATTAATTGATTGTAACTAGGTATGCATTATTTTTAATTACAACTCTACCTTGACTTTTTATTACATCTCACCTGTCTTCCAGGGGCTCAAGGCTCTTCCCAGTGTAGTCAGATACAGTACTTTTAATTACATACCACTGAAAAAAAAAGGAGGAAACTCCTTGACTTCCAAAATTTTGACTGTAGAAAAGTTCTCATATTACAGGATTTTTTTTAGAAGGAGCAGTAGTGGAGGAAAAACAAACCTAGCAGTTTTGCCAATTTCATATTAACTTTATTACCTGTCCTTATGTATCTCCATAGTGATTCCAAAAGCTATTTTGTATGAAGCCTACTTATTCTTCTGTCCATATATTACATTTCCATTCAAAATGCATGTCATACCACTCACCTGAAATTGACCAATAGATCTCCCTGCAGGAGCAGAGTACAACCCTAAATTGCCTTTATACCCACAAGGGTAAGCTGAGAGTCATCATGGTCCAATGGGGTACTCCATCGGACTAGGGATCTATGGCTGTGGTAAAAGGCATCCGTGCAAAACTCCTATTTTGTCCCTTCTTAGAGGAAGGCAGTCAGACTTGGACCTTGCTGAGGCCAAGTCACAAGTGCATACAATAGTGGGAAGAAATATAACTTAATAAAGGGAAACCAGAAACACCCAGAAGGGTGGTCAATGTTTTAAGCCTATCAGGTTTTTTCATTCCATCAAATGTATTTTGTTTTCACCTGGGCCACTTCCAATCACCAGGGTGATGGCCCAGTCTTAGGAGGAAGCGGTTTCACTTTTCTTGACCCCATCATAATGGGAACAAGTGGAACAAGAGGATGATGAGGATGTTTATCTTGCCTTTTATATAAATATATATATTTGGTCAACTCAAGGCAATGAACACACTTAATCCTCTTGCCTCCTCTTTTCCCCACAACAACCCTGTGAGGTGGGTTGGGCTGAGAGAGAGGGACTTGCCCAAAGTCACCCAGCTGGCTTTCATACCTAAGGGAGGCCTAGAGCTCAGTCTCCTGGTTTCTAGCCCAGCCCCTGAACCACTATGCCAAACTGGCTCTAGTGCACCAATGGCAGCCCCTACACATCTGCTCCTCCTCCAGGGTCACCATCCTCCAGGGTGCCATTATAAGGCTCTAAGAACTCCCAGTAAGGGGCCCTTTGACTCTGCTGGACCAACTCTCAAAATCCCCAGGCAACGTGGCCTTTGGTGGCGGGATGGGAGTGATGGAGAGGTGGCCCAACCTAAGTGGAGGGGAAAAGGGTGGGGAAGAAGCCCTCCAGAGTGACCGCATCAGGATATTTCTGTACTCTGGTGCTCGAGATGCCCACCATCTCCACGCCAGAGCTCTCCTAAAGGCAGCAAAAAAGGTCAAGACCTCGCTGGGCCCCTGACCATGCGCAAAGGGCTTTCCCACCTCTATTAAAGCTGTTCCACGAAGCAGGGATTAGGGCACCGCAGGAGTTAACGTTCTGGCTCTCGCTTTTTAACGCCCTTTTGACAATCGTTACTTGGAAATGTGCTATTGCTGACAAAAGCGGCGGGACAGAAATGAAGCGGAGGGGGAAGAGGGATAAATGAGCCTGCCCGGTTCAGTTCCCACGGATTGTGACTCACTGAATTCACCGGCGGTGCCCATCGCGAACTGCGCCCCCCAGCGTGAAGTCGCAGAGACCCGAGACGCGGCCTCGCGGCAACCACGCGTCGCATAGCAACGCCGGCATCAAGCGTCCCTCAAAGGCTCACGCCCCCCGTCGCCCCGCCTCTTTCTCTTTCACGGGTGCGG